GGTAAATACTAAATAATCCTATTTGTAACTTTTTTTTTTTATTAATATCTACTAGATCCTGTCAATAATTATTTTTTTTGGATTATTATATAATAGATCCTGTTAAGTATTTTCTGGATTATTATCTACTAGATCCAGTTTGTAAGTATTTCTTGAATTATTACCTTCTAAATCTTGTTAGTAAGTATTTTTTGGTTATTAGAAGCATTAAACACCGACCTGAAGATGCGTGCTACTAGACAGTGGAACTGGAAAAGCAAACTGGGAATGACCTGGGATACTGGCATGTTGTACAGGTGATGAATTAGAAAGACCACTAGTTGGGCTGCCATCTGGACTGTACGGAGATATCTGTGTACAGACCGTAACAAATTAAGAGTTTAGTTTTCTGACAAACATTAATGTTGCACTTCATTTACGATCTGAGAAAAAGAAAAAAAGCACATTTAATCTCGCAAAAACATTTTTTTAAAAACATATCCCTTTACTATCCACTGTGCAGTAAGTAGAGATTTGAAGAGACAAGAGCTGTACATACAATCAAATTTAATTATGGTAACAGTATCACAACACTTTTTTATTCAATTTGTAGACTCTGTGCTTAAGATGGTTCACTAACAAGTCGCAAATAGCTGATACCAAAATTTTACATTCACTTCAATGATATATATCTGTGTGTGTGTGTGCACAGGCAAATATCTCTAACGCCATTGGTTGAGATTCAGTCCACCCTCACAATGATTAATTTTGGCAAATAATTATGGAAATGGAAAGGTGACATACGCAGACGACTGGAAAACTATACGTAATTACAACTAAACGGTCAATTTATCATTAGTATAATACTTTATTACAGAAAATAATAAAAAAAAAGCCAATAAGCTGGCTATTACATCAGTATTTTCTATTTACTTTAAACGGATCCATACACCTTAATAATATTCATATCAGGATCTGGTGCAGGCCAAACATTAGTTGCAAGTGTTCTATTGGCTTTTTTTCCTTCTAGGATTCATTTAACTTAATTTCCTGCAGGCTTGGGACCACTGTCTTGTACTTGAAGGAATGACATGATGTATAAGAATCTACATATACCTGTCAGCAGCCAGGGTGCCATTAATTTTTCACAGATCTCCAAACATCATTGGCTGAGATTCAGATCAAACTTATACTGATATTCAAAGCAAGCTTTGCTGCAGATGTTATCCATTGAGCATGACACTGTTCTCCTCCCCATCATCTAAGTATAACTTATTGTTGGAAAACAACTTAAAATTGAATAAATCTAATAATGGTATTCTCTTATAGCTTTGTTCATCCCATTGTTTGAAGTCCGATGCCCATTTCAACCTTTTAGTTTTGTTTCTCTCCTAAGCGGTGGTTTTTGAGCAGCTATAGATCCATTGAGACCATTTCATGTTAAATTGGATCTTACCATTCTGGAGGTAACATTTACACCTAGGTAACTGACAAGATCTCGTTTGGATTATCGGGCATTATGTAAAGAGCATATTATTTTGCATTATATTGGACATCACATTTCTATTATCAACAATCTGTGTTTCATGTAACCAATTCAGGGTTTCTTAGTGAAAATTGAAATTCTGCCTCAATCTCAAGTAGAGTGGCTCTCACCAATCAGGACTTTGATTTATACATGTTTTTTATGCAACATTTTATGCTGGGAGCCATGACAACATTACCACACTATTGCTGGGTATAGTACAACTGTTTGTTCCTTTAAAGGCATTATGCTGGTGTGGTATTGTATGATTGGTTAGACGACAGCCACTCACAGTAGAAAATACAAACACGTGTCTGTACTATAGTACAGTTTACTTTCATAGAATCGATCAATCCTGGTGCTCTTCCCAGTTCAGAGGAGAATCAATGAATATGATTATCCACCATTTTCTATTCCTTGCTGTTGGCAGCAGCTCTCCTAATCCAAGCTTCTCATCTCCAATCTATTTTCTAACATCAACAAGTCAAGTGAGTCTCTTGTCTAAATCTCATTCTTTTTCCTTCTGTTTTAGCCAGCAGAATCTTTGCCACAGATCTCATTATATGCCTGAAGTAGTGTATATCTCATTTCCTGTGTGTACCCGGAAGTTGTATCTGTCTTTGTACATTCCAATACTTCCTCATTAGTTTCTACATCCAGTAAAGTAAAACTGGCCATACATAACATTTTAGCAGTCTAAAGTAAAACTGGCCATACGTAACATTTTAGCAATCTAAAGTAAAACTGGCCACTCAACATTTTAGCAGTCTAAAGTAAAACTGGCCACTCACAATCTAAAGTAAAACTGGCCACTCACAATCTAAAGTAAAACTGGCCACTCAACATTTTAGCAGTCTAAAGTAAAACTGGCCACTCACAATCTAAAGTAAAACTGGCCACTCAACATTTTAGCAGTCTACAGTAAAACTGGCCACTCACAACATTTTAGCAGTCTAAAGTAAAACTGGCCATACATAACATTTTAGAAGTCTAAAGTA